GCTGTCTTTCGCAAGTTATGCGAAATGGTATTCATGTAGGCCACTACAGCAACCTTGGCTGCCTTAGTGATGGCTGCCTGGTCTCTGACGTTTGCCCTTCTTCTCCTGCTCATATTTTCCGCGACGGCGGTTAACAGGTGCATGGAATAACCAGAATCCAATAAACGTTTAGCTTGAGCCCACAAGCTTGCGACAAGCTTGTGGTGGCACGACTTCACCAGTGAATTTTGAAGGCGGGAATTTCTCACCGCACGCTTTACCAATTTTGAGTGAGCGGACGTGAACAGAAGAACCGGTTTATTTCCTCGCGGTTCATAGCTCCAGCATACTCCTGTGGCAAAAAATACAGCCCGGAGTCAAGGAATCTTATAGAATTGTCATTTGGTACTTCATCCGTCTGCACCAGGGGAGATAACACTGTCAAGAACATGGTTAGAGTGTGTGTCAGAACCGCATCAAAATTGTTATGATTATTATTGGCAATGATCAGATAGTCGTCTACAGATCTAAAAACAGCAATCACATCGGTGTGCTTCACACGCTCGTCAAGGACCTTATTACGTTTTGCTAAAAACAGGTCGCTCAAGTACGGGGCTATGCAGTAACCAATACATATCCCGTTCTTTTGTTTTACAGTGTTCGCATTCCACGTCGCATAGGTCGAGTTAGGATAAAAGTAAAGGAGCTCTAAAAACTGTTCACTCGACACACCGGCAGTATTTTGAAATTGAACCGCTCCTATTCTGTCGATACCTTCCGATACACACATCACCAACCCGGCCCGAGAAAGGGTGTAATAAAGATCTTTACATCGATTGAAAATGCTAGAAGATTCTAGTTTTCTTTGCCTGCGAAAAAATCTAGCATTTGTTCTAACTTTTTCGCCAAAAATGGGTCGTCAAGAGATATAAACTTCAAATTTGTTTGTAGAAAGACCGCATTGCACTTTTGCCAGGATTCATTCTCCGACATGATCACTCTGAAAGGGCAGTCAACTTTATGCGTTTTCACCGTGAAATATATATCAAGACCCACTACTTTTGTCTTCTCGATCGACTTAACCAGGCCTTCAAGATTGAAGCTTTTGTAAAGCTTTTTTTGCGACAGTTCGCACTTTTTCTAACGATATATTATTATCAGTATCAAATACAGAATCAATGACCTCTGACACCTTTGTCTGATACAACAATTTATGCATAGCCGCAAAACCACCGTCTTTATCGGCCGGTAAGCAGTGCGAGTAAGTTTTCCTTCAAGTGCCTAATGGTCCCCTGAATGGCAAATCTGCCGCCCGGAGGACGGACATGCGTGAGTACGTCGACACCTTCAGACACACACCTGTCAACGTCACCTTCAGGTACTTGTTTGGAGACATTCCGAACCATCCTAGCAGTTCCGGGCTGGATTTGCGCGGCTCGACGGTGAACTTTGGTCCACACTTGAGTACCTGTTGCACTTTGTCGGACCAGTTCACGTCCCCGATAACGTGTAGAGGATTCGATTTTGCGGAGGGCTTCTTCTGTACTTGCGTCCTCAGCCCCGGCAGAACGTGCCGCAAGAGGACTAGCGCCTTGTCCGTTGCCGGCAACGTGTACACTAGTTCTCATTGTTCCCACTATAGGGCACCGCTGCGCTCTCTCGCAGCTGCGCTATTTCCGCTGATTCATGCATTTGGCGCTGTGCGCTCCAGATAGCTGACTGCTAGAGGGCCACACTTGTAGACAGCGCTCGCGTTCGGCGCGCTTCTTTCATCTTCGCTGAGAGCTCATACAGTGAACGCTCTTAGTTACCGTTCCGCAGCATGAACACCCCAGAAGCCAAAACAGCAGCGCCGCGGGCTCTCTACCAAGGCGTTGTGGTAATAGGCCTTCAGTTCAATGTGTTTGATTGCCACATCTGTCGGGCTGCTGCAAAGTTTACCCGGACACGTCTCTTTATAACTCTTTCGTAATTCTTTCAAATTCTCGCATCTTTTTCTCTTGTGGCCTAGACGAGTTTTATGCATTCGGACTCGGTAAACAAAGTCGAGCAACCAATGAAGCCGAATATGAAATTAAGGCTGCATGCGTGCACGAGATACAACAAGGGCTGTCAAGCGATGCTGCGATTGATTCTTCCTATTCATGAAATTGTGCACGATGAGATCACCCTTACCGAATCATAAGAGATCTATGGCCAACTAGTATTATATTATTTTAAGTATAATTTTGCCAAATAAGCGACTGTGTTTCTTACCTACATTTCAACTATATTCAGTCTTCTTTCTGCAAGCGTTCTTACTTGTGTTCTACATAAGAGCTCTATTACCTTGCTTTTTATAACAGCTGCATTCTTGAGCGACGCCCGGAAACTGAGATTTTGTCATTATCTAAGTGCCACAGCATGCTATAGAACAAACTTTCGGTGTCTCAGCAGCCTCTAAGCTGCCTATCTATTACTTAGCTCACACTTTCTACATTAAATCATGGAGTTCAGTATCACTATTGGTTATAACATCAAGCTTCCATCGCTTTTTCTCTGCCACAATATCTTCAACGTATTGCCACATCTCTAAAATGAGCAGCGTTCCGCGCCTATTTTTCAATCGATATTTTGAACCTTTATAGGAAGTGCTCCTTAGTAGAGAAAAAATCGCAAAAACAAAAAATTATTATTGCCCAGCAAATACATTTTCTTTGTCCATGGCTTTGAGGCGTGGACCTCTCCGATAACTACAGACCTCTCGCGCTTAACAAATGTTAACGCAAATATTGCCCTCATTGTATGAGATAGTTTGCACCATGTGGCATGGATGTTTTTTTGTTCATTCTGGAGGACACCATATGCAATATACGAGTTTATTATGCGCTGCTGTCACATTCAGGTTTAGATAATAAAAAAAAATTCGGTACCCAGATTGAACCAGCTTGTGATCCCCTGATACTTGTTACGAAAGTGGCTGTAAAAAGTATAGCTTCTGGTGAGACAAGCAAATTTGTTTTGAAGCATATGATATCCGTTTACAACATCGCGTCTTATTGCGGAAAGCTACAGTCCTTGGCGCCTCTTGTTAAGTTCTTGCCAGAACAAGAAATGTGCATAAACCTCTGTCGAGGTCACAGGCTAGACATGCTATACCCCCCCATTCCGTTCCCACGAGTAGGATAGCAAACTGGTTATCCTGGAGTGGTTGACCTCCCTACCTGTCCTTCTCTACTGTTTATTCTCTTAAAAATACACTGGCCAAATACCAGTATATTATCAACAAAGTGCGATAAAACACTGCAACGCATTTGCTGCTGAAAGACCTCTTGGGAAATTAGCGGTATCTGCCAACAAGTGACTCATTTTTATCTAGTTGAGCACCTGATGCCTCTAAAAAGAAAAGGGTCAATCTACACGTTCCTGAATACCATAACAGTTTCTCTTGATTCATTCATTGGTTAAACCTCACTAGAACTGATAGAAATGTTTCAACTGCTTGAAGTACTGCTCTAACATGTGTTGAAACATCGCGTGAGGATCGGATGTTAATGTCATGTTCGAAGTTTTCATCGACCTGCACACTGTTTAAAATTTTTCCTCAATGCAGCATTCTGAACCCTTCTCCCAGAACTGCATGTATAAAATATTTAGGCAGCGGGAAAAGAAAAGCATGTAATTTGTCATAGAACTAGATGTGCGCGTCGCCTCTTTGCCCTCTTTTGCATAAGTGGGCAGACTGCGGCTGAGCTACAAGGGGGACACGAGCTGGATGAATGGATGCTATGAGCGTTTCCTTTATAACGGGTCTGCGACATGTGTGCCACCAGGATCGTAATAAAAAAAACGATGTTGCTCCTGTCTGTGTTCAGCGCTTCTAGCGGCAATATCAGTGAACTTACATTGGAGAGCTCAGTAAGGTCTGGGAACGTTGCCTTTAGAGCGAAGCTGCGTTGCTCTACCCCAGAATCGTTTCATTTTCATGGGCGAAAAGTAGCAGAGGCTTAGCTCGGCTATTCAGCTACGGATGCATGAAATTAGGAACGGACGAACCATGGGTGAACGGTCGAACCACGTAATGCAGAACTACGGACGGAGGGACCAGCGAGCGAGTGATAGATATCAGGCGAGTACGTCACTCCAGGAGCTTCTAAGCCTTCTCAGGAACTCCAGCTGTGTGTTGTGTGACATCACTGTTGCTTGCGCATGCTCACCGCAATCCACGCCAAATCGCTCAACCTCGGACTGTGTAGCTTATGCTACAACGCCAGGATCTTCAACCACCAACAGACTCTCGCGCAGGCGTGCTGCTCTAGCAGATGCGTGCGCTTCAGAATAGGTTGTGTAGTACATACTTCGTCTATGCCATGCTTGTCTGCTGTCGTAATGAACATAGGAGCATGACCTATGTCATTTAAGCTTTTGCATTACTTGAACGATAGGTCCCAATTCTTTGACTGAAAGGAATGTGTGTTACTGGCACAACGCAGAGCACCGAGCTGGATTGCATCAACATGGCAGGGACGTTTAAACTCGACAGCAGCACAGGGAAAAAATGTGTAAAGCCAATGAGATTAGAAACCTAACGCGAAGGCACACCAAGACGCATTGCGGCAACCAAGATTCGCGTGCACACTCTCGGAGGCTGCGACGCGTCACAGTTTTTATTTTCACCGCACCAGGATTCTAATGAACTGGCACAGAGGCACGCATGCTCACGCCTGAGCGTGAGGGTCGCCTTCTTTCGTGTCAGCCTCGAAGCATTAGTTTGGACCTGCGAGGTAGCGTTACATTCGTATTAAACAGTGCAGGGGGAAAATTGATTCGCAACGACCTTACTCCAATAAAATGTAGGCAAATGGGCCCTCGCCAGGACCGAAGAAACATTCGTATGACCCTAAAACTCGTACGACTGGAGATGATATCCATGAGTTTACTTCATTTCTTCAACTCTCTTGCGTGTTCTTTTTTTCTTCTTGTTAGTGCGTGGTACTCGAGAATTGCTGCCTCATGAACCGTTAAAACAACACACTGATCTATCAAAACCTTTTTCTTTATTCAGAACACGGCAGGAAGCTGATGATGCAATGTTCCGACGGAAAAATCCTATAGCAAGAAGTTCTATCTTTGAAGAAGACAAGTGCAGTTGTCGAAACATCGGCTCGGGCAAACAACCACTGTTACGAATCCTTTTATCACTTGCTTTCTTCGGGCTGTTCAAGTTTTCCGATGAATAACAGACGGTATATTGAATTGATAACTGAAAGCGTAAGTAAGGTGCGGAATGCACTGGTCAATTGCCTTACAGCGATAAAGGATCATATGTTATCATATTTGGGCTGGTCAGTCGAGACCATGTTCAATTATACTGCCATGATACACATGTCGACAGATGACGTTAAAGATCGCAATGTTCAAAAACAAGTTCAGTGAACGCGCATTAAAGCACTTTTTTTATTCTGTTCGAGATACTCCGAAGGTGACGCTGAAACGTACTGCTTACAAAACGTGGGCCAATCTCAATAGAATTATTGACTTCAAATTACCACAGGATACCGAATCAAATGGCTGCTGAAACAAAGGGCCGCGACATTCCTGTTGCGAAAGAGTGGCTTCTCTTGTCCTATCTATTCCATTTTGCGACATTGTCATTATTCTGTAAAAAAAGAAAAAAAGTAAACAAGCAATAAACGAGGCAGTTTCTTAACGGTAAAATTGCTACAAGGCCAACAAGCATGCCAATTGGTCATGAGCACAAGCAATCATCAGTAGCATTGAAATACATGTCATCTGTTCCCGTGGCGTTGTCTTCATGCACAGATAAATACATCTAGTAAAATTGTCAATGCGCTTGTGTATATGGCGCGTAACTCTGAGAAAGATCATTTTACTTACTGATATTACCACAGCAGCTTCCACGAATTTTTTATTTCTAAATCATGATTTCTCGTACATTTAAACAGCCTTAATTAACGCGTTCAAAAAACGGGGTCGCTTTTGAGGCCATGCACGCCCTCGCTTATTTCAGAACTGTTGAGAATTTCGGGCACACTAAAATTGTGTAATGAGGCATCGACGAGACACTTTAGCCCTATTTCAGCAAATATTGAGTTCAAAGGCCGGCCAGCACCTTAAGTACGTTAGAAATTAGTAAGCGTTTATGGCCTTGCATAGCTTAACAACAATGTGTACTTTAAAAAATGAAGCTAGCAGCATTAATAAATAGCTTACACAACAAAATTGTGGGCTGAACCGAGAAGAAAATGGGCAACTTCTACACTGGGTGCTGTGCGAAGGCGTTCAAAGTGACTTCACGAGGTCAGTCGACCTGCCGCTCGAAACGCCCCGTTCAGGTCTTGGTAAACTCCAGAGTAAAAGGAGTCGGGTGGCCCACCCACCATCTGCCGGAGCACACCTGTACCTAACGTCGAATACCCGGGTGGTGGTTGGTGAACGGCTACGCACGGCAAATTAGGCCAGTTGCAGAAGATGTGAGGAATATAAACCATGCATCCCACTTCGTCGGGCGTCAGCAAGCAGGCACACGCGAACGATGGCGTTGTCTTTGCGTAAATTCCTACTTCACTTCTACGTTGCACATTGTTCACAATGCCGGCAACACGGTCGGCTTGGTTCCCGCCTTGGTCGAGACGATAAAGCACCCAAGGTTGCAGGGCTCTCTGGCCCACCAGAAAGCAATATAAGTGCGCCACGGTCTGCAGACTCTCAAACTGAGAGTGTTGAGATGTTAAATAATTACGGATATCGCTGACGGCCTGTTGCACACCTTTTCCCCTGACCTTTGGGAGTTGAAGATCGTCTTCATCGTCCAAGTTTTCAAGTTTAAAATATCGCAGGCTTGAAAGAACCGAGCACAACACATCCAAGTATGCCATTGTGTTCCGCAGTGGTACTTTGGGAGGCTTGATGTACGAAAAGCCTTAAGCCTTTATATAAGACTGAAGAGGGGCTTTATGTGCAGGCCGAAATGTTTGCTGAAGCGTTCAGTTCGGAACTCCAACGGTGATGTGAAGCGAAAGCCTGTTGAAGTACGGCTACTGCTCACCCTCGGCTTGGCAGATGCCCGAGATAGCGTTGAGTGGCACCACGTTTGGAAACGTGTTCTAAGATTCGCGGTACAGTAACGTGGCGACAGAACTTTCTTTCCTGAGCGACACGCATAAGGTGCCGTGCTCTGCCTTGCCACAGGATCGCTATAGTTTGCGTTGCCGGTGTAAACTTGGTCACGTGTCCGATGATATGTGCAGCTTGAAGAAGTGTTATTGAAATAAAGGACGATATGTCACGCGGACGAGTTCTGAAGACATTAGATATTATACGCACGAGGTGCTACTAAAAGCTCTCTTTCATACAGTGTAAATTTTCATGAAAAAGAACACGCAAGGGCGTGGCCTGCGCTCCGTCGCGGTAACCTACAGCGACATCAAGCGACACATAAAGAAGCTGCATTCGCTTTTCGCCTCATCTGCTAGAAAACGAAACAACAAGTCATGACCGTTGGATAAGCGCTGCTAAATTGGGCTCCTGTCCTGGTCTCGCGACGGGCGATACCGCCAAACTCTGACGCGCTTTCTTTATCTGTCGGCTAATGGTGCTGTGGGCAGCCACAGCAGAGTGCAGGCCGCGTGCTTGCGCGTTCCCTTTTATAAAAATGATACTGTACATTTCATACCTTTTGGTAAAAGAAAAAAAATCGCGAAGTTGACTGCACCGCGAATTTTTATTATTATAGGGAAGATTTAGCGAGCACCTTTAGGCATTTAAAAACTTTTGTTAAAAACTACTTATCTTTGCGCCGTCCAGATGAGAAGAGGATACTTACGGTGAAAGCGGAAGTTAGGTGATAATGACGGCATATTGACGAATACTAGTGGTGACGTCATTCTTGACATTAGTGGCATGCATACGTTTTTGTTTTGTTCCTATAACTGCGGAGCTGATAAAAGTCGAACGTGCGCCGTCTGCATCTCTAGCTTGCGTCATGGAGTCGTATAACTAGAGGAGCGAATGAATAGCCATGTTAACAAAACAAAAAGGTGATTGCTAGAAATTACGATGATGAAGATATTCATTGTGTAAATGATGATGACTGTGAGGACCTATATGGAACTAAGCTGTCTTTGGAAACAATCACGTTAACGCAGCTTGCAACTTTGCTGTCCTAAGGTTTGTGTGGTGCCGAACTGCGTGTGTTTGATTTTTCTTCTTATTTTGGAATCTTTACTGTGTGATCATATTCCTATCATTCACTCAGTACTAAGTAGTCAGAAGAATCTTCACTCCTTGTGTGCTCCTTGTCCTTGTGCAAAATAACAGTCCTTGTGAAAACAGCGTGAGTGCATGCCTCACGGCATGTAAATGATTTCCAGTTGCACTGCCACTTGCGTTGTCACAGCCGTAAGAATGAGAGAATAGAATGTGTTTCTCAGACTACTCATTGATTTATTTACCTTGCACGGTTAATATTATGACACATTCAAATTCATGGAACATCTGACATTGAAGAACTTTCACATCCCTCGCATTGTTCAACTTCTTATGAGAGGAGCATTCATGAAAACGTAAGGAAACTTGTCCTAGCATGACCGTAGAACTACTTAGAAGTGTGGCAGCTTGGGCTAGTTGGTATGACATGACGATAGCCATTGCGCTCGTGTCTTTCGTGTGCTTCTGGTCTCTGTGCCGTCGTTCTGTTCTCGCGCTATAACTATCGTAGAACTGCTGCAGATTTTAACAACCAAAGCGTGTTTAAGCTATTTAAGCAAGCGTGTTTAAACAAAAAAGCGAGAACAAAAAAAATGATCATACGTTTATTTTCAATAGTTTTAATTTTATTTGTGACAAAAGATTAGGATATTACTTTATCAAAGCTTTGACCTTTGGTATGTGGTTGAGTGCCTATTTTTTTCGTTTGGTTTCAAAAACAGAGGGCACATGCAGGAATTCTGGTAACATGGGCCAATGGATTTGGGGGCGTATCCAGGCAATATGCTTTCAGAGCTGGTGTTTAGTTCAGCGTTATCTTTGGTTTGGCGCTTTATTAGGTCAACAAGGCATTTTTCAGTTTTCCGTGGTGGTTTCGTGCGTACCTTCAGAAGTTTACATAATTTTTATATGCATTTCACCGCTCGACTAGCTCACAAAATGTGTAGATAGCCGCTCCTGGGACTGATTTAGCTCCGGTGTGCCCTCGCCTTCGGTGACTGTGAACACGGCAGGCTAAGCAACAGGACTCTGTGCTCTACGGCTGCCAAAGCTGTATTTTTAGAGCTGCTGTCTAGCTGCTGTGGTTTTCAACAATTGGGAAACGTGGGTTTTTGAACTATTATGCTATTGCGTTCATGAACAGTTGTCTCACAATTGCATCTGCAAAGTTTCTTGCGCATGTTGTAAGCACGTCACTTGGCTAATAAAATAACTTTGCTTCCTCAATCTTTCCTATTTCTGTTTCTTTTCTCTCTCACACGCAATTAGCGAGACAAAATTAAGGCGCAATACAATCGCGTATAATAAAGGCACGTAGCAGGTCAGCAATTAGGAAAATTTTTACTTTCGTGCCATGTAGGGCAAATGAGCAACGTAGCTACCGCTTCCGGTTGTGATGTCATATATTATTTTTTATTTTATTTTTTCCTTTTAGTTGTAACCTCCTGATGTAGATGGCGACAGTAGGAAGGAGCCGCCGACTACTGGATTCATGGGCTGTTTATGGAACTAACGCTGCCAGTTTACATATACCTTGCCGTGTTCTTCAGTATTTCACGCCTCATTGTCCCGAAAGAATAAAGTTTGATACTGCTGCACTTGAGAAACGAGATTTAAGCCGTCAATTATGGAAGTATTGCAACGGCATTCCATGTGGGTATCTTGGCGAGATAGCTGCGCATACTCACCGAATAAAAAATGATGCCGGGACTAGTTTGCGAAGAACGCATCCCGTACATTTCACACGCAATCTGAGCATAACTTGAAGATTGTGAACGTTCGGGATGCTTCCGCGTCTTTTTTTTCCTATAGAGTCATATCGTATTGAAATATTGCATCTACATAGAAAAGAAAATTTTATTTATTGATCACAAGCTTCTACATGCTCTTTCAAATATTTAGGCAATGTGGATGTCCGCACTCTACACCCTTAAAAATACCGCAAATAATTGAAATTTTGAAATCTGTATTTCAAAGTTAATTTTGTGTTAGTGTGTGTGTGTGTTTGTGTGTGTGTGTGTGTGTTTGTGTGTGTGTGTGTGTGTGAGAGAGAGAGAGAGAGAGATAGACAGAAAGTAACAAGGAAGCTAAATGTGAAAACATTATTCTTATCAATATTGTACAGGTAAGGTACAGCGTCATTCCACCTTCCCGATGCAAAGATGCACTTTCGTTACAAAAAAAAAGTTACCATATTCTTCATTGCCCTTGCATATTTATATGCATGCTTATGAAGAGACATGGACGTTTTATTTTATCAATGTGGCTGACGATCAAGAGCACCGTTGTTATCCTCTGAAGCGTTAGTTGGTTGGTAAGAACTTTATTGAAAGTCCGGCAGAGCTCTCGCCGACCGGACCTTAGGTCTCCCGCGTGGGGACGTCAAGACCTTGCCTGACCGCCGCCTCGCGGGCCTGCTGGACGGCCCAGAGTTGGTCACCGAGGCTGGCACTGCACAGTGCAGCGGCCAACTGCGGCGGAAGGGTTCCGTATTCAGCACCTTGCGGATTTCTAGCGCAGTCCTAGAGCATGTGATTTAATGTGGCAACCTCACTAGGCATATCTTGCATATTTTTGTCGGATATATATTGGGGTATAGTCTGTTAAACAGCGATGGGTTGGGATACGTGTGCGTCTGCAGCTGTCGTAATGACACCGCCTGCATCCTGTTCAGCTTCTCGCTGGGCGGAGGAAAGGTTCGGCGGGCCAGGTTGAAAGCCTTGGTGATTTCATTATAAGTCGTCAAACGGTATTTGGTGTTTCCCCATAGAGGACGGTCACCGGCGCGGTTCACGAGCTCGCGCGCCTTGGCGTGTGCCGTCTCGTTTAGGTTTAGGTCACCTCCCCCATGTGAGCCGGGAACCACAGGAATCTGGTTTGAAGCTCTGTCTCTTGGTAAAATTTTCCATTGCGCAGGGCTTTGGCCGCTCGTTGCGAGATCCATCCTTTGGCGAAGTTCCTTACTGCTTGTCTCGAATCACAGAGGACAGTAGTGCATGACGGATCCGTGAGCGCGAGCGCCACCGCTACTTCCTCCGCTTCATGTGCGTGGTCACATCGAATACTTGCCGATATTCTCGTTTCGCCTTTCCAATCGACGACCATGACTGCAAATTGCAAGCGGTCTACGTATTGAGCGGCGTCAACGAACCGCGTACCCATTTCGTCGGCGAGAGTGCGCAAGAGAGCTCTTGCACTGGCGACTCTTCTGCCGGGGTTGTGTTCCGGGTGAACGTTGCGTGGAATTGGCTCAACCCTTATCGTTTGTCGGATCGCGTCTGGCACAGCGACTTTCTGGCTTTGTTCGGTGTGGCAACGGATGCCGAGACTTTCCATGATCTGGCGTCCCACTGTCATGCCCGCTAGTCTTTCCAGTTGTGAAGTGCGCTGCGCCTCGGCTATTTCGCTTAACGTGTTGTGAAGTCCAAGTTGAAGCAGCAGGTGCGTGCTGGTGGACTCGGGTAGACCCAGTGCCACCTTGCACACTCTGCGGATAAGGACGTTGATCTTGGCTTCTTCTGCCTTGCACCAGTTGTACCAGTCTGAGGCATTACCCGTAGAATATTTTTACGTTAAGCAGGATGGCTCTGAGACGCTTACAACGGTTTTTCGATAAATCGAGCAGTTACGCCAACACTTTTAATGAGATGAACCATGACACTTTGGCACCGGCACTAAAAATTCGGAGGTGTTGGGT